TGAGTGCACGGTGGCAATGGCAATTGAACCACGAAGCTAGGCGGAGACAGCTACATATGATTGAGAAGCTATCTCTACTATTTTGGGATGTATCGGTTTGGCTTAATTAGGCTAACTTTTTGAGAAATAAAAGGGAAAAATGTGAAATTGGTAATCAAATCGAACACAAAAATACAAGTATTTTATTTAATTTATAAAATTGTAATTGAATCATTTGACATTATAAAACTATGCAATTCACTCCAAGTAAAAGGAAGTAACACGTTGCCAATCAGTGAAATTTTAAACAATAATAAAAAAATTAAAAAAATAAGGTGTTCATTGGGACATTGTCAATCTCCCATTGGAGACAAACTTATCCATAGAGTCGACTTCATAATCTAGAGACCAAGAAGGTAGAATGAATGAAGATAACTATGACTGATGCTTTCATCTTTCCCCTTAAAGAAAAGAAAAAAAAATTAAAAAAATTTAAACATTCAACTGATCGAAGACGAAAATCAACATTTGTCTCCAAATCTATGGAGACGAAGGGTTCATTCCTTCTTTAAAAAAAAAAATGTTTGAAGGGATGAAAATAGTTGTCATGGCTTTCATTCCTTCATTCATTTTCAAAGATCTATGGAGACGAGACAATTTCTATAAATTTAGTGTTTTTCGATTGTGATCATCAATTTCTTGTCAAAAGACGTTAAAATAAAATTAAGATTAAAAAAAATTCCTTACTACCAAATGATAACCTGCTATTTCAGGTAAATAGAGATGGACAGCATTTTTACATTCTCGCATTTAGTTTTTTTAACCAATATAACCTTTATTCCATTGTTTAATATGCATTATCTTGTAGAGTTTTTTTAAGCATTTTTTTAAATATATATTTACACGATATTGGGTTTCGTGTTCAATTTCGTGATTTTGTCTAATTCTTTTGGACTTATCCATCGTTTATATTTGCACGGCATTGGGTTTCGTATTGAAATTGGGGTTGTCTAATGTTCTCGAACTTATCCGTTGTATGTGTAACATTATTATTTAAGTAATAATGCTTTACCATTTTTATTTTTAATATATTAAAAGTATATTATTTATGTATTGGTAATATATCAAATAATGAACTTTTCGTACTCAAATAATTTACTTTTAAATAATAAACTTTTAGTACACAAATAATGCACATTCAATATATTAAAAATGTATCTTTTGTCAATGATCCACCTCATAGGGTGAATCATGATCTATAGTATAATGATTGGATAGAATGTCATAAAAAATGTCCAAAAGAAGAACTCAAAATGGTCCTCTGACTATTGCAATTTTTCAAAATTGATCTTCGATTGTTAATTTGAACAAAAAAAGACACTTGACTTTTAGATTTGTTTTAACAATGGTCCTTCCATCAAAGATCAGTTAAGTTGACGTTAATTAAAAGGGTATTGTAGTCATTCCATTTTGGTGAATAACTTATCAGCATAGTGCTATTGACTCCAATCCACGGGACACGCACTCCAACACCGATAATCAAGGACCAATTTTGGAATTAACTCAAATATGAATAACTAACAATAGAAAACATTACTCTCCATATAAAAACAAATAGTTTTAGCTCTAACGTATGATTTGTATACTATTATACGAGTAAAATTTGTATAATAAACACCTTCAAATAATGATGAAAGCTTACTTTGTCGTGCAAACAATCCAAAATATGAGGCGGTGGGTCATGCGTCCATAGCCCCAGACCAGCATGAGAATTCGAAGCCCGGGCCAACAAGTGAGAAACACGATTCGCTGATGGTTAACACTAATAATGTTATTGAAAGAAGAGATAAGAGTTCTACACTCTGAAATTAATTAAACCAACGTAAGAGAGATTTGGGGAGTTGTTGTGAAGTGCAGCCACTACAATTGAGCAGTCCGACTCGAGCAGCACATTATCATCGTGTCTTTCCTTAAGCCAAGATAACACCTCTTTGCACGCGAGGTATTCAACTATATATGGGTCGGGGGGACACAAGAGGAGACCAGCCTTTGCAGCCACAACTCTCTCAAGGTTGTCATAAAGTGTAGTAGGGAGTAGAAAGATACTCATGGTGTACATGGACATGGCTTGGACAACAATTTTTAATAACACTTGAGGAGTTTTTTCTACCAACCATTAATTCTAGCTCTGAGCCTCTGACCTTCCATTCAATATATTGTTATTCTTTTGCCTATAATAAATGCATTATGAAAATTTCTTATCTTTGGTATTTTAGTAATAATAATAAAGTTACAAATGTTTATTTTGAATAGGAATACTTTTTTAAAGACATATTAATATACTGAGGAAAACTTTTTAGGAGAAGAAAGGTTAAAATTACCAGTAGCTGGGGAATGCTAAATGTGCAATGACATTCACAATTAATACACTAAAGGATCAGATCATAAAAACGAAATCCAAGCACAAAACTTAACTAACCGTGTAAAGTTCTTATCGGAAAAGCCAAAAGTTCCACCAATAGATGAAAACCCACAAAAAGAAGATGCACTTAGAAGGAGGGGAGGATAGGGCCGGGGACACGGGGCAATGCAAAGGAGAGGGGGCGGGGGATGAGCCGATGAGGGGACGAAGAAGTGGAGGAAAACGAGGACGGGAGATGGGGGACGGGGACTAGGGGAGGAGGAAAAGACAATTGGGAATTTAAGACTAATCCAGCAGCCATAGAAAATGTGTAGGCTCAGTTTTAACAGATTTTACCAAATGAGCATCCCTGGAAGCTTAATAAAGATGTTCCCTAAAGAAACACAAATTACAAAACTAGACTAGAACTGTCAAAATTCAGGTAACACTGTTAAATTGTGACTCACTTTGCACTAAAGCAAAACGGGCCAAAAAAAGGATAAGGAGAACCAGATATTGTGCTACCCTGAACCTCATTTCTTTTTGCCTCCCTTGGCAGCATCTCCAGCCTTAGTCTGCATGGAACCAAAAAAAGTGCAATTAAAAACCAATTCATTCAGAAAATACACAACATACTTGCATAAAACACAAAACAAGTTGCCATCAGTTAAATATACCTTCTTCACACCACGGATCTTCTTGGTCCTGTTTTTACGTTCCTTCATTTGTTTCCTTGACTTCTCAACCTTCGTGTCAAGACCATTCTGCAGTAGAAGAAAAGTAAAATAGTGTAAATGAAAGAAAAAGGGCATCCACAATGACAATTGTGCACAAACACCAAAATTTGCTATATGTAGCTAAAAGAAATAAATTTTCAGTTCCTAAACAACTTTATCAGAATTGTTAATAATGGGAGATGCAATAGATTATAGCACCGAACTCACTCAAATACTATATGATGACCGTGATTGCCTACGTTCCATCAAGTAGTACGGTAGTACCCTCTCTTCTTTCACAAATGTGTCCATTCACTTAATGTACTTGATTATTTAAAGCAACAAGATAATGTCACGCCTCTCTATCTCAGTTAGGTATCAGAAAAACTCGAACATTTTCATTGAGAATCCTATGTATTAGGTTTCCACTCTACGTAAGCAGAGCCATGATATTGAGGCAATTTGCGTAACAATTATCAAGAATAAAAATGAAAAAAAATTTCAACATTTAATACATTCTCATCAAGAATCCTTTGGGTTGGATTTTCCTTTGAACATAAAGATGTCCTGCTAACAAGTCTTTTGATGTGTGGAGCCCTATTTTAGCTCTTACATGACCCGAGACTAAATCATATTAAAACTCTGTAATATGAACTTGAGATTACCACTAAAAATTGATCTGATTACTAATGAACTTTGATCAATGCTAAATCTGAATTAATTCATAAATGATTCACTGGTGTCCCAAAGGACTTATATTGTAAATAATTCTTTTAAGACTAGAACAAAGTACTTCTTGACAACTTCAGAGATCAAATTCCACGTGAAAATAAATCAATCCTGCAGAGACTACAGTTAATCCTCATAGAAGGGCAAAAATACATTGTTGACTTACCCTGATGAGTCTGTACTTAGGCTCAAACTTCTTTGCATTTTCAACTGAGTCATATATCAAACCAAATCCAGTGGATTTGCCGCCACCAAAATGAGTCCGGAACTTGAAAACAAATATGGAATTGGGGTCCTTCACTTCATACATTCTAGCTAGCTTCTCCTTCAACTCAGCCTAGACAAAATCAATACAATGACACATGAGATTCATTCCAAAAACAATCCAGAACCAAAAAACAAAAACAAAAATTCCACATAATCAACTGATTCAATGAAGGATTAACATAGATCACCTTGGAGACATTAGCCCTTCCAGGATGAAGAACATCAATAACCTGCATCCATATCGAAGAATAAAAAGGCAACACATTTAAACTCATTAATAACAACAACAAAAATTGATAGTTCTTATTATATCAGACGGATGTAAATGGTGCACAACAAACAGAGAAATTGCATTGTGCATCTACATTTTCTCTTGAAAGTTAATATCTTCTGTGGAAAATGAGCCTCTGGTCTATTAGAAAAAGGCCAAAAGGCCTTATTCCAGGCTTTCATTATAGAGGAAACCAAACTTTACAAATTGAGGTAAACCCACTCCAAGGCTCCTCCAAAATCGTAAAGATTAGCTGGAAAAAAAGTCAGTTTTCTCACATTTTCTAGAGATTTAAATTCAAAAACTTCCAAAATGCAAAATAATTTTCAAACAAACAGCTTAGAAATAGGCGTGCCAATGCTCCATAGTGTCCATTCCTTCTTCAGACATAAAATGACACGTATATACGGGGAAATAAACAGCAAGAGTTACAAATAGAGAGAGATTAACAGAGAGGACGCTGGGGCTTACAAACTGCTTTCGGGAGAGGAGTCTGTTGGTCATGAACTTGCGCGTGCGTATGGTGACTGCCTTGTCCGCCATGGCTTGAAAAAGAGAACTGCAGAAAACGAAATTCAATCGTAATGTGCAGTCCCCGCGAGAAAGAGGTTTAGTACAAAACCCTAGATCATTATATAGTCTAGGGTTTCCCAATGTTCATTGCGGGTTATTTCTTTGACCCGGTAGGGTTTAAAATATGATTTAAATTATATTGTTACTACTCCCCCGTCTCATTTTATGTGTCTGATTATATTAACAAGATTTGACTGAAGTTATTTTTAATTTAATTTTTTTGTAATATTAAGCTTAGTATTAATGTACAAAATTTATATATTTGAAACTATACTAAAAGTATTATTAAACACAAAAAAAAAAAAATTAAATTTAAAAATAGTAAAAAATACTAAAGAAAAATAAACAAAGAAGAAATAATTGGTTTCACCAATGAATAGTAAGTAGGACAGATGAATATTTTACTCGGAGAAAGTTCAATTTTATTCGGGCCTAATAGAATGATTATGACTAAACTCCTAACTCTTAATTATGTATATTACACTTTTGAATTATAATTTACTAATTTAGATATATGACATATCATGGACTTGAGCAACTCATATCCATTGTCCTTCACGGCCTAGTAGGAACTCATGTGTTAGCCTATCATCACGGTGCCTACTTCACTCCGTAAACGTGAAACAACTCGTTTATTTAAGTTTATGATGCTTTCTTAGATTAGCTTACACACTAATTTTTTAATATTTCAAAATATCCAAACTCATCACAAAACCTCACTTCTTTTTTCGAAAACAAAAGGAGCATTATATTAATCTGTAGCAAAGTTCTTACAAATAGCAGAAGCTAGAAAACGGGGAATACAATCACAAACCCTCACTTCTTATGTTGTGAATATCACTAATACAAGGAAGTAGATTCACTAACTCAAACTTCCTAACACAAGTTTCTATTGTCTTTGCTAACTCACGATATATTCACACCATTTACAGTGAACCGATGTAAACACTTGTGTAACCAACCTCAAGTCATCAAACTCGAGCTATACATCCCTAACCTTAGCCCATCATTTACAACCATCCTATGCCCAGTCCATTTTCACACCACATACATGTGCATTTTTCCCATTTCAGGACTTCTACACAGAAATAAAAATTTGACAGTTGCCTAAGTAACACCTAGTCTGAAGCAATGATTGGACTTAAGCAGTAATTTCTTTCAAGGAATAATCCACTTTCTCAATCTATAAAATCATTCCCTTTAGCATCCCAAATTCCACGTTTTAGTCTCTAAATCCCCTTTACACACTCTCTTACCCTCTTAAATCTAAATCTTCTTATTGTAACTTTATCCACAAACTCCATTGACAACTCTAATTTTTTTTAGTCTACAAATATACGTCAATTTCTTGATCATCTTCACCTTTTACACTCTGTTTAAATCATTACCTCTTCTTCTCTTCTACACCATTTTTTAGCCAAACAATAGTCAAAATTCGACTACCAACAAGGGAGTAAAAGTTTAGAGAGGGAGACTTTTAGGCGGGGAGATTGGAACCCATGGGTGAGATTTGTGGGCCTAGACATAAAGGGAAGAAAGTTAGGGGGTGTGAATTGAGCTAAGGAGTGAAATTCAAGAAGTTGGAGTACATGCAAAGGTTAGAGGAATGAGGTCCAAAGTATGACAAAGGGAAAAGTTTAGGCGGTTGGAGCGCATAGGAGGGGAAGATGGGATCAAAGTGAGACATAAGTTGAAGTACAAGGAGTCATAGTGTAATCATTTTTAGGACAAACCTAAGTGAGACAAGGTTAAAATATGCAATAGGATGACACAAAGAAGGTAAAAGGCTAGAGTGGGAGCTACCATGGTGGCTCTAGGTGGCGTACATGTCATCCCTTGCACAACCTCCAACTTGGGGCACACAATTGCACCCTAGAAGTGAGGTTGCACTAGGGTGTGACCATGGTGTTAGGGTCACAATGCGACCTCGTTTCTTTGCAAGATTATGCAGTGTCACGACCTAACCCGAGCATCGATGTGCGTGGATGGAATGGGTGGGGTGCACTAGAGCACCACACACCTTTGTCACAACTCACAATACATGAGTTACTCCGAGACCATGCGAGAGATATGGAACAATTTGACTTCTCAAGAAATTTGACAAGCTCAACAATTCCATCCTCCTATAAATCACTCTCAAATTTCTTGGCATCAACTTGTTCTCATATATATAAAGCATGTAATACACATAAATCAATGAAAATATTTTTTTCTTACAAAAAGCATTCCTTGTTTCCTAGAAGTGGTATATTATCTTCTTTTTTTTTAAGCGTTATTTTAATTCTTTTCGTGTAAATTGATTCACTTGAGTATATATAAACTAATAAAACACAATAACTAAATAAAATATAGAAAAAAATTATTCAGTGAATACTAAACACTGAAGAAATTTTATTCTGATATGTAGCCTGACTCTAAATCAAATTATGTAAGGGTGTGTTTGGTTTGCACATGGAAGTTGGAATCGGAATGAGAATCAATTCAATTAAACACTTGGTAATGGTAATGATCGAGTTTGGTGAAAGTATTTTGCATGTTTGGTAGTAGGATGGATTCAGAATGATTATCAATATTGATATTTGGTTATGTATGACCCTATAATGAAAAAAAAATGTTTTAAAATACAACAAAAACAAAAACAAAAACAAAAACAAAAAACAAAAAACAAAAAAAAAAAACACAATTTATCGTAATATCAGATATCATTATTATTATTATTATTATTATTATTATTATTATTATTATTATTATTATTATTATTTGATAACTATTATTATTATTATTACTAGTAATTGTCCCGTGCGAAACACATACCATTATTAATTTAACAAATTTACCAATTAAATTTTTGACATTTGATCTCTAAATTAGCAAAGAAAGTAATGGATGTGGAAACAGAAAAACTTACCTGAGTTTGTTAGCTCCCAAAAATATTCATCTTCCCCAAATCGCATGGTATAAAGCTTTATAAGAGATCTATGCTCTCATAAATATTGTTCTCCTATTCTAGTCACGACCATCCTCCCAATTCTAACCACGGCCAAAATATAATTGTAGTATTGGTTGTGGATCATGACTTATTTATAGTGTTGAAGTAGATGTAGATGTTCATGTAAATATTGATTCTAAATTTTAAATTTATCTCCAATCAATAAATGTTAGTCTTGGAGATTGTAAAATTCATTTATAATTCAAAACATGTGGTTATATATTGAAATTTGCAAGAATGTTTTGTTTATTGAATTGAAGTAAATGTAAACACAATTAATACATTCATACGTACTTTGCTAATGTCATTTGCAGTTGGTGTGGAGATAGTAAATGCTTATACGTTAGAAACATAACATAATTATTGCAATGTTAATTCTCAATTTGCAGTTGGTGTGGAGATAGTAAATGCTTATACGTTAGAAACAATTATTCTCAAATTAATTTTGTAAATTACTCTCCTCCCCAGTAAACTCTTTTTGCTTATTATTCACATTGATTTTTTTCATCTTTATTTAATTACTAATTTTTTACGCGCATTGCGCGATTGGGATAATGCCCAATGTTTTTAAATATGTAACTCTAAGTTTACAAATGCAAGATAATATAGTCAAAATTGATTATAATTGTCAATAAAATAATTGTATAGGTATGGTTGAAACCAAATACGGGACATAAGGAATAGCGAATAAAAATTAGGGCATAAAATATTAAATATATACTAATACTGAAGAGCTAACTGCTGATTGCCAAACAAGGACATTACGAGGTAGTTTTCCACTTCAATTTGTTGTGTGATTCGAATACTCTTTTTGTCAATAAATCCCCCAAATAGTTAATATGATTGGCTTAATTATATCTTTTTATTTTTTATTTTTTAAAAACAATTATTATTATTATTATTATTATTGTTATTATTATTATTATTATTATTATTATTATTATATGCATACCGTTAGGTCATTTTACATATTAATCTAAACAACAAAATTTTTTCAAATATCTTTTTATCAATCATTGATATAATTCGCTGGTCAAATCCCCTAATATAACCCGCTAACGCTAATCGCTAACTGCTGATTGTCAAACAAGGACATTGCGAGATAGTTCTCACTTCACTTTGTTGTGTGATTTGAATACTCTCTTTGTCAAGAAATCCCTCAAGTAGTTAATATGATTGACTTTATTAATTATATTTTTTTAATTTTTTCATGGTATTAATAAAATACTTGGTAAATAAATATATAGCATTATTTTGTATTCTAACTTTGATATTTAATTTAAAAAAATAGTGCACAAAAAAGATAATAGACAATGTAGTGAATATAATCAATTGATAAATTTGAATGTAAAGAATTTTTACATTGGAGAACAATAAATACAATATAACTAATAAAATTATTTCTCTTATTTAATTTATTGATAATGAATAATTTCATTTGAATAAAGACGTTGTAGACACATAATTTTAAATTAAAGAAATGTATATGTACTTTTTTTGTTGTAGCTACTAAATTATTATTTTTTATAATTTAATAAGAGTAAAATAGAGTACTAATTATGCCAACTTTAATTGGGATGAGGTTCGAACTTAAGACCTTATTTATTAAAATCAATGAGTAAGTTAACAGTGAACTAACAGAAATTAACGGAAAAGATAATATTTAACGGAAAAGTTAATCGATAATCATATTCATTAAGGATAAATTAGGAAATCTTAAGGAAAAATTAAAATCTCATCAATCTGAGCCATTTTATTTGATTAAAAAATTTGACCGTCATTTTTTCTACCCATTACAGGCCTAACTCTCTTGGGCTTTTATTAGTATAGTAGATTTATGATGATTGTGAAGTTCTTAAACTCTATTCAATAACTCCTAAATACACCAAATGGCAGGAAAAAAATTTCTCCTTCATTTTACTTTAATATATATATAGAGATAGAGATAGAGGTTTTCTCTCTCTCTCTCTATATATATATATATATATATATATATATATATATATATAGAGAGAGAGAGAGAGAGAGAGAGAGAGAGAGAGAGAGAGAGAGAGAGAGAGAGAGAGAGAGAGAGA